CCCTGCAACATGAAGAAATCATAAAATTCAATCAAAGAAAAACATGAGAGGCACTGGGTGATGAATTCAGTGATCCAGTGCACAAGGAAACATACGATTCCACAGTTATTTTGTGTTTCTAGATGAGGTATCGGAAGTAGCCATTAGAGAGATGACATTGATGGGATGCTGCATTTTAGAATGGAAAATGTTTTTAAAACATGCCCGCTGTCAATTACCTGTCAAGAGCATTCCCACACAGTGGATTTGAACCCAGAAGGCCTAAATAATCCGGCACCAATGTATTTGGTGGATCTCATGAGTTCTTCCTCCTTGCAGGAGGGTCAAATAGATCTTACGTTTTACAGCTTCAATGGGACCAGCTGCACATGAACATGGCCCAGTTCAGAAGGAGAGACAGGGACAGCAGCCCAAAGGGGGGAAGAGGACATCCCATGAGAGAACTCATCATGTTTTTTTCTTGATAGTATGGAAGGAGAGCCTGCTAATTTGCTCAGAATAGAGGCTGTGGGGAGCTAGTGCTATTTGCCCCCTGTCTTTAACCTTCCCTGGCTGATACTTGACCCGTGCAAAGAGAACCAAAAGGACCTGCCTAACAGAAGAAAGGATTAGAGCACACCCAATTCATTAGAAAGCCAGTTTCATATAGGGCAGAGATGGCTAACCTTTTTGCCATTGCATGGGACCCCGCCATGTGCGCCTCACCCCCTGGCATGCACCCACAACTCCCCGTGTTTTCCCTGCCCCCTGTGCATGTGTGCATGAACCCTGCACTCCCCCAGCCCTGTGCATGCACATGTGACCCCCCACATGCACCCCGCCCACATGCATGCATGAATCACCCCCCTGCCCCTGCACATGTACATGCATTTCCATCATGCGCCCTGCTTCCCGTGCATACATGGCAGGGACCTGAAGACTAGCTAGCCAGCGGGAGGCCTGCGTGCATGTATGGTGGAACTGAGCTGGGGCAATGGCTTGTGTGCCTGCAGAGAGGGCTCTGGGTGCCACCTGTGGCACACATATCATAGGTTCGCCATCACGGGTCTAGAATAACTCAGAATGTGCTTTCTAAATAATCAAATCAGGATCAAGTTATTATCCAATCCCCCCCCCCCCAACGGGGTCTTTGGAACCACAGGAAAGGAGATATCGTAGAGTCACCTGCCAATAACTTGGATAAGGAGATAGCATGTCTTGGTAATGGAAATACTTTGTTTCTTTGTATAAACGTTTATATTCTGCCGTTCTAGTTCTTAGCAGCCATTCTGGATGGTTATCAATGGTTGTAACCTATTAACATTTGATTTGGGTGTTTTGCATTATTTGCAGTTCTGAAACCTGAATGTAACAAAAACTTCTAAGTATATTCAAAATGTCCTGCTACATATTAAGGTGGTGTTTCCTAGCCGATCTTGACTGATCCTGAGAAAAACTAGGCAGCGTGGGACATAATTAGATTGTGGATGGGAGACCACTAGGAAATCCCATCAGAGTGGACTACAAGCAGAAGTTGAAGAAACATCCCTCAAAGAGAGCAGCGTCAAACTGCTTCTGTTTTGCTGCCAAAAACAAAAAAAACAACCAACCAAACAAACAAACAAAAGTAAGATCAAAATGGAACTTTCCATAAATCAAGATCAACTTGTGAAAGTCTTAACCTTTACTCCATAATAAAGCTACAACCCTTTGAACAATAACAATAATAAAATATGATCCAATGAATTCCTGGTTAGCAAACTGTCACTATCACTCCATAGGGGACCGGTAGGTGGCGCTCCCCACTTGCAAATCAGACCAAAGCCAATTACATGTTCAATATCAGTGGAAATCATTGCTGTTGATAGAGATAAATGAGTAACACACCACCTATGTAACAATAGTTTTATTTAAGATGAACTTTTCATCAGCTGCTAATCATGATTTTTTAATGCTTTGCTTTGCATTTTCTGTGGAGTAAAACCTCAGGAGAACCTACTCTTGTGTGGAAAATGAAAGGGCATTACAAAAAAAAAAATGAATGTACATGGATTCTAAATATTTCAGGTTGTATGACTTTGTGTTTGACCTTAGCAGAAGATGAACTAATCCTGCAATATAATAGACTTTCATAGAGATATGGAAAATGGCTGCTTTTTTATCTCCGTTGCCATGGGAACCATCAGGGAGAAGGCCTAGCTGAGATGCAATAGGAGGTTATTAAATGTGTGCTTGTGTATATTGGAAAAATACAGCTTTTTGTCATCCTGTGTCACTCATAGGTCTTTAATATGTAATGTTTAGGTTATTAATAAACGAACACAGGTCCATTTTTAGAGGGAACAACTGTGAATGTAGCTGTAAAAAATGTACAAGTTGAACATTTGCAAAAACTCTTTTATTAGGAGCCAAAGTGGGGGCTTTTATTTAACAAAAAAAAAATCCCTTTGCTCCTTTTTTTTGCTCTGGTTTTCCCCCAGTGGTTACAGTTTCTTCTAACTGGATTAAATAAAGAAACACAGCATGTTCCATTACAATAGCAAGATGATGATGGTATTATTTTCACTGTTTTGCTTTTCAGGGCAGGTTCTATGATGTAACTTACACCCCTTCTTTTCCTAGCCCTAAAGTTGTGGAAGGTTTATTCAAGCAGTGTGTGTGTGTGTGTGTGTGTGTGTGTGTGTGTGTGTGTGTGTGTGTCCGTCTGTCTGTCTGTCTGTCTGTGCTATGAACTCTGTTCTGAACGCAGAGGGGAACTTCTGGAAGGCAGATCTTTGTGGAACTAAGATTCCGGGCTGCTCCTTAGAGTCCCTTCTCTCTCAGGGGCTTCCACAGACAAGAGGGAGTCAAACTATTCTCCAAAGTACCTGAGGGTAGAACAAGAAGCAATGGGTGGAAACTAATCAAGGAGGGAAGCAACTTAGAACTGAGACAGTTCGAACAATTAATCAATGGAACAACTTGCCTCCAGAAGCTGTGAATGCCCCAACACTGGAAGTTTTAAAGAAGATGCTGGATAACCATTTGTCTGAAGTGGTGTAGGGTTTCCTGCCTAAGCAGGGGGTTGGACTAGAAGACCTCCAACTCTGTTATTCTATTCTATTATTATTCA